GATAACAACAAGTATGGAGCATCACACAAATGAGCAAAGTTTATATTTTTGAAATCAAATGAGAGGCTATAAAACACGGTTAAATAGTGATTTGAATTTTTTTTAAATCAAAAACATGGCACTGTAAGAAACAGACTTATTGGTAAGTTTCGATGTGGAATCGATGATGCAAATATCTCTGGAAAAATTGCGCTAACGGCCCGGCTGGAAATCCTGGACCGAGAGGAGTATATCCTGGAATCACAACGCATCGGTAGGGAGTCTTACAAGACTAATCAACTTGACAACAAGGACAGCCTATTTTTGATTCAAGGGAAAACATCTATGAACAAATATTTGGACTTCCCATGGGATCACCGCTCTCACCACTTTTGGCAAGACTAGGAAGGCAATTGACATCCTTGGGGCTAAAGATCTAATGAACAGTAGATTGGAGGAAGGTAAAGTAAAGCGATGACTTTGTCTACAGCTTAAGCAAACTCGGGGAAAACAAGAATGCTACAAGATCAGCAAAAAGGAGATTCTAGTATCAGGAATCTGATCGCGATGAGATAAGGGGGAAGCGGGGATTTTCGGCAGTCAAGCGAAGACGTCGTCAGTGGGTGATGTCTGTTCGAATAAACTAGTACAACTTTGGGGGCCTGGCTGTCAGGGAGCTAGGCACACGGATAATCAAACCTTCACAGAAATTTGGCGGCAATATACGTGCTTCTAGGGCTTTGAGAAATAGCGCTAGGAGTAAAACGCACTCTGGGACTGGAATCGAGTGAAATCGGTTAACTATAAAGAAAGGGAACCGATCCACGTTTCCATGAGGGAGATCTGAATTGTAGGCCCGAGTCGGATTATATTTAGTATGAAAATCTATTTGAAATTTAAATTAATCGTGAGACTAACTTATACCATTGTGATAAAATTCGAATGTCAATACCTTATTATTTTGTGCTTCCTTGTTTGGATACATCTCTCAATCAAGATCTATTACTAGTTTAAAAACCTACCTAATCTGTTTATAATTTTACGTTTCTTTGCATTCAAGACTCAGGCTTTTTAGATGAATTTTTGGTGTCGATATCATCCTTTTTTCTAGTAGGTTCTTCCTTTTTACATCCTTCTAACTCATCAATATTTAATGATAAATAATTGTTATGCTTATGTCACAACAATTTTTAAGCTTTATTAATTATTCAAGAAAGCTTAGGCTGCGTATACTCGCTATTTTTAATAAATAGTTAAAAAACGTAATAGATTAATATTTGCCTATATTTGATAAGTCCATTTATAGTGGATCTCTTGTGAAAGATTAATTATAGGGACTGAATATACAATGGCATTTTATTGACTTACCCTTATTTGTGCTCACTCAAAATTTTCTGCTTCTTTTACATCTCATAGCCTTCATCCTCATTCTCTTTTAATGCATAAATCAAGATTCTTCTAATGATTATTATGTTTACTCTAATCGATTGAAAATGAATTTACTACAAAATAGACGTAAAGACCAATCCATAGTAAATAGTACCCTCGAGATTAAGGATTATGCTCTATGCACACTTCTTGTTTTTAAGAAATGTCTTCTCTACCTTCCAGCTTTGCTTTGGACATTTTTGGACAGAACTGGCAGATAAATTAGCTGGTCTTGTCTAATTTTCAATAAAATTCTGACATGCCCTATTAAGCGATAGTTAAATTTTCTTTTACTCTTCCACGACGCTGCAGTCTTGATTTTTAGCATTTTCAAGATTAATGTTTATCCTCAACCCTTAGCATAAAATCTTTTATACATTTAATGAGTTTTGCTTTTATTAATTCCCTTCATCGCTTCGGCTTAGTCCGAACTTTGCCTGAGTAGACCCTACTGTTTTTATATTACGACGCTATTAATTATTTTTTTCTATTGCTAGTTTGAATTTTTTGCAAAAAGCTCTCTTGCTCTTACCCATTCTATGTCTTGCCATGCAGTTGTATTGAAACCTCCTAGATAATAACAAAATAGTCTACCACACGGGGAGGTTCTAAGTCAATGAATTCCTCAGTTACCTATAATTTGAAGGATTTTTCATCTCTAGTATATTTTTCTTACCTTCATATGCACTATCTTTTCTCGCATATGTGAAACAGTATCATCCATTATTAGTTTGCTTTCTAACATCTTTAATCAAGTTTTAACTGATCTTTATCCTACTATTTTAATTAACTTTTTCATTTTACGGTTTTGTATACTCTTTGCCCCCTGACAAAATATTATATTTTTCATTATTATTTGCCGTTATTTAGTCAAAAAAGCAGATACTTAGGCCATTTCATCCTAATTTATGCATACCTCCAGATTTTGATGTTCACAATATTTTCTCAAAATATTTTTCTTTTAGCCTAAAGATTTCCCATAAATCTTCTCAGACACTTCGTAATCTCTCAGTCCATCTTTTCGATATCTTTTCTGACCAGCAAATACCTGCTGGTTTAGTTTCTCTAATTAATGTTGTATTGGCTCCGTGGTTACCTGTTCATGAGTTTTCTCCACAAACTATGGCGAAATCCAATATGAAACGACTTGAAACAACTGTGGTGAGTGCCATTTAGTTTAGCTTAATATTCGTTTGCTTTTCATATCACCTAATTTAATTATTCTACATTCCTCTTTCCATAATAATAATCATACCGAAGCCACTGTCCATTTATTGGCTTACGTATGGATTGTTTTCACCTTATTTCGTGTAATGTAATGGGGAGATTGCTAGTTTAATTTTACATATCCTTGCTCTCCAAAAAGGTATTCTCATCCCGGATGGACAACAGTTTGGACCTCGCCTAGGTGTTATTGACACCATTAGACGGACTCTAACCATTACAGTGCAGCGTATAATCTAGAGATGTTAGCCACTACGCCACACTGCCACGAGTGCCCTTAGGTCACAGGGAAATGTGAATTTCAAGGAAGGTCAGACATTATCCTATATCAGTGGTAGGATTATCCACGAAGCAAATATGTATTTACTGTAGCAATCGACTACGTTACTTATTTTTCATTATTAGTGAGTTTTCGAGACTATCAGTATATCATTTATATCTGAAATGTATACACCCTTTTTCCTTTAAGCTGATAAGGAGTCTAGTAATTTAATTATCGCACGACATCAGTAAATGGGCGGTAGGGGGATATAGGATAGGTGAATATACCAGGACACAAGGAGAGATACCACAGCTGTTTAACAGGCATTGATCAAAGGATCAGCTTCACTTGTCTCTGACGAATTTTAGTGTGGTGCTAAGAATGGCAAGACTCTCTCACCCAGGGAATGTATCAAGTTCACGGTCTGATTTTGGAAATTATGTCGCATACTATGAACTCTGGATATTGTATGTTCCTCTAGGTCTTCCTGACAATATGACTAAGTTGCGAAAACAACCCCAAGCAACTTCTTTATGACGAAATGAAAGTGCGACTATACTAAATGCCACATCATTTTGTTCTTTATAACTTCTATAAATTTACTTTTCTATAATTAAATTCCATTTATGTTTTATTATTCATTAAATTCATTACATTTTTAGTCTTTCAAGTCGGTTTGTAAGATTTGTAAATATGCATGCATTGCTGGACATCGTTACGAATTCTTTTATTCTAGAATTTACCTCAAATATTTTTTTTCCTTTTTCATATAATCGAGTCTAGCATGATTTGATTAAGTTCTTTTATAACGGCTTATTTATTTCTAGGATGCAACTAGATACTGTTAATTTTAATGGTCATTGTCTTAATTTTATCTCCTACTTTTAACCTAACATTGTAGTAACCTAGACTAAACAATGTGCAGGCAAAATTAAGTAAAATATAATTTTATTCGCTTATTCACTCTAGCTTCCACCTGATTTCCATGTTCCTTCCCACTGGTCTTCTGAGCGATTTGAAGCTGAAATCAGCAAACATTTAGCCTGGCCACTTCCTCTAAAATCGTCCAAGCCTCCTTTGAAGTCTACTGCATCGATTGATTCACATCTTTGGGTTGACGATTATTTGTGTTCACAAGAATCAGAGAATTTTTCTACAAACACAATATACAACTATAGTTATTACGACGAAGAAAATCATGAAGAGGACCTTGAAGAGAAAAAAACTGATGATAAACGGCGTAAGGGCTCCATTTATCCTGTTGCTGTCTTTGTGTATGGTTTGTTTCGCAATTTTTTTCGAGCCTCTTTTAACGGCAAATCCATATATTATTCTGCTTAAAACGTTTAACTACTATATATGCTAGATTTCTTTAATTTGGCAAAGTGGCATAGTGATCACATGTGCCGAACTCGAATAAATCAGTCTAGAAATTCAACATGTGATCACTATCCCACTTTGCCAAATTAAAGAGATCTAGCATCGAAAAAACGCACGAAACAAACCATGACCAAAGACAGCGACATGAGAAATAAATGAATATAGTTATGTATGCATTAAGGGTGAGAGAGGTTCAATTTTTTTTCTTTTCTACCATTGCCTCAGCCACAAATTCCTGTTGCCTTTCAACTAAATATACACTCGATGAAGCAGAGACAATTGACTTCAGATCTTTGCCAATACGGGCCTCTTCTTCCTCTTTGGATCTAATCGCCTGGCTCTGTGGACTTGAAGTAGATGTAGATGAGTCTGGAATTGGCCGTATCCATATGACTTCAAATGAGCAAAGCATTGAAATTGGCTCAACATCGTTCCAGGGCATCACTAATCCTGCACTAATCGCTTTTAGCCGTCTACTCTTGCATGAGGTATTATTCTCTTCGAATCTTTTTAAAAGTTATTTGTCCTAACATTATTGTCTGCTTTTTTAATTGTAGCTGGATTTTTTCATTTCGCAGTTTTATCTATTTTATTTTATCTATTCTACTAATTACTCAAAACTATACCATCTGATGTGCACGATCTTCCATATAGATCAGAAATATTTTGCTAATTCTTTTCATTGACACATGCTGTAAGATCTTTTCTTTATCTTTGCAACCCAACAGTTTATAATAATTGTTTAGTCTCAGATGTCTGATGTTTGGACACCTTTACGACAAACCACTGTTTAAACTGTGTTTATTCGATTTGCCTTTTCTTGCTCACCTATTTGCCGATAGCACGTGAATGCTTTAAAACTCTTTTTGATGTAGAAGTTGTTTATCTCGCTTCGCAACCTGATCGTTTTGGCAGGAAGACTTAGTTGGACTCACCTTGTCCAACGTCCTCTGCTATCATAATTCCCAGCATTGGACCATAGACTTGATAGACCCCCAATGTTTCGCTGGCATCGTCAATGAGTCATACCATTCTCATCAACAAGCTACAATTCTTTGAAGGGATATGTAAATCAACTTTCGAATTGTTGTCTATCACTCCTCTCCATACTGATACATCTGTCTACACCATACCTTCGTCATATCACAATTTCTAACTCATTTATATTCGACTCATCTATAGATGTGCCTTTTTTGGCGAGTCTAAAGTAACGTCATCGCACCTGTTTATCTTGCCCTCTTTCCTCTCAATTTGCCGATACTGCTATGACTTATTGTCTTAATTTTCCATATCTGACTATAGATTCCTTTCTTATCTTTCTGGTTGGTTTATTTCACTCGTTTCGATTCCTAGTATAAGTTTTACTACTTCTTTGATAGCATGTTCATCGTCACCTATGCTCTGATTCTCGTACTTGCAAATAGGAGGCTTTGTCTCCACAGATCATTTTGATTAGACCCGTGTTTTCTTAGCAAATTGCGTACGTCTATTTCTCATTTCCTTTTGTCTCTCGAGCGGATTTCTATTCATTTAGGTCATATTGTTGAATTTCTGTGGCATTCCTTGATACAAACATCTCCTTTTGCTGGTTTGCCGTATCTTTGTTTTGTCTTAGTTTTCTTACGCAATAGGCAAACTTATTGCAAACTCTAAGTTCCAATCTTCTTTTCATTACATTTCCTGCCTTGAGGGTTTCAATGGCCTCCTTAATCTTCCATTTCCGTTCCGTCTCCTTTAAAGCAGATGTCTTCAACATCCAAGAAAGGTTACCGTTACTCTTCCTCCATTATGAATTTGATTCCTTCATCAATCTGGCTTATAAACTTCAGGAAATCGTTCTATTTTTTCCTTACACGAGACTAAAGTTCGAAATAGTCATTCAACTACTGCATTTGCATTCTTGGTTGCAATAGTGATGTCTTAAAATCCTCATTTTTTTGTTCATGTTTACGTTTACCAAAAGAGTTGAGAACGGTGATCTCTTAGAAAGTATAATTATTTGTTTATAGACTTTCCCGTTAAATGTTGTAAATTTGTTTAACTGTTTTAAAGAATCCCTCCTGATCTTCTCTGTTTCCATGATATCCTCTTCTTGTTCCAAGATCTTCAGCAGCCTTTTACCCATACATGTTTGCATACATGGATTGTACATCAAGGCATATCGTTAATTCCGTTTCTTGCACTTCCTTGTTTTTGATGCTTGGAGAAAATTCATATGAATATTTCCCTCTCTTTATGACATGCCATTTAGATTCTTGAGTTTCAAACATATGAACTTTGCCGATTCGTGTGTTGCCCAATACCCGTTGACTACCACCGTTACTAGTTACCCTTTCATGTGTATTTTCGGTAATTTGTAGGCAGTAGGTAGTGTTGTATTCATTTGTTTTATCTAGAAATTTATCTCCTTTGATGCTAGTTTACTGTGATTCTTTTTTTTTCACAAAGGGTTATTTCATAGATTTACGTATCATTAAACCTATAGACAGTAACGAACAAGAGAAGCACATTTATTCTCTATTATTACATGGATTTACTTTTGACATAAGTTATTAACCTCTTCAAGAACGTAGTATCCGTCCACATTAATTTTAGCTCACAATATCGTTTAATGTTGCTAATTATTATTATTTTAGATCGCACTGAGATACCTTTTATCGTGCCAAAGCCGCTGATCAGGCAGAACTAGATTAAGAGAGACTTTCGAATATCCTTTAAATTATTCTTACTTGCACGGAATATAAATGTTAATTTAAGCTAAATTTTTGCAATTTATGCTTTCTAATTTCGAAATGTTAAGTTGTATGCAGAAATTTATATCTCCTAGATTGCCTAGTAATGTTAGTGTGCATGTTCTTGTAAATTAACTTTATTAATAACTATTTAAGCTCAATAATTTTTCAGAATTGATTTATTTTAGTTTTTATAGGTCTCCAACTGAGTATAAGAAAATCTTACGATCTTCTCATAATTGATGAGATTCCACTTATCCATCATATATGATGTATAATAATTATTCAAAAATCTTCATTTCGGAAGTCTAGTCTTAAATGAAATTAATTTGACATTCGATTCAAAGAAGGTCATTGCTACTTAATAAAAATACATTTATTATGTTGATATTATATATGCTGCATTGGTTTTCAAAGTTGTCTACTTAAAAATTTCATTTCATAATATCTAGCCAAAAAACAAAATGATCATTTACTTTTCGCATAGTTTAAACAATTTTTATTTAGACCCAATTTTTGTAAAACGAAACTATTTTGCCTCATTATTTTAGGCAAAGAAAGGACTTTTCTGCGCTAAAATTGAAATACGTATAAGACTTATCTATTGATCATAATTGTATAATTATTTAATCGCGTAACAAATTTTTTCTTGAAAATAACGAATCTTAATTTTATTTTGACCTATCTTGTGTTCACGGAGACTATGCAGAACGCACCGAGTCCGAAGTCGTCTGCCATAGTAGTTGTCTTGATT